TATTTCAGACTGTCAATCATTTGAAAGTCCATATAAAACTAGTATGAAAAATAAATAAATAAATGAACAAAAATATATGTATATAGGTCAGTGTACTTATGGCAACATTAATTAATAGTACAAAGTATTATTCCAATGCTGGAACAAGGCAGACTTCCAACGGACATCAGAGTTACATAAGCTCACCAACAGACTGTTATCAGAGGTGTACATACGCTCTCTAAATTTAAATACAAGATTTCTAAAAATTTCGTAAAAAGACTTGACCTTTGTTATATACAAACATATGATTTACACTATAATCACGTGGGTAATGAAAAAAGCGGCGAAACAAGTTATTATAAAATACACGTAAAGCATTAAGGTCCACTTCCGAAAGGAGCACCATAGTTGACAGCAGAAAAAGTTATAACAAAAAGTTTTAAATAACAAAAGTTTGACCTCATAGCTACATTTTGAAAATGTTCCATAATAGAAGATTAGCCCGTGATGCAAAATAGACGTTTCTAATGATCTATATCAGTGTTATCTTTCAAATCACTAGTAAACTGTGCAGTACAGTACAATTAATAATAAACCAGTACTGATTGTGTTTTTTTTTTGAATTGTTGGCCCTCAATAATTGTGGTTCATAGTTTGGCAGTTGTCTGCCCCCAGGAAATACGTCAGATAAGTAAATAATAATAATACCTTATTTTAAGATAATTGTAAAAAAAAACTATAGTCCCATATACCCAACTAGTAACATACAAAGTAGAGCAAATAAATAAACAAACAAACAAACAACAAAAATAGCTTAAAATACCCTAAAGTGGCTGTGCCACGGTGTGGGTATGGCAGCTTCTCCTTCCAGTAATGCTCATCAGAAAATCCAACCTCCCAACGGGGATTGGAGAAGTTCCATGGAATGGGGTATCATCAAGTTTCCTCTAGCGGCAAAGCAGAAAAGTTGCTGCCGTTTTGCAACTTGAAGGTTGCATGGAAGGTCGAGGTTTTTCCGTTGACAATAAAACCCTGTCTAAAATCGTCTGATATGTAAGAAAATAATAATAGCATTCCAAATTTCTCAGAATTAATCAGTTTTGGCAATGAGAAAAATATTACCTTCTTCCAGCACTTCTTTGAAACCAATATTACATTCGACTTGTTTTAAATTAGCGTTCAATCAACTAGATGAATACTGAGGTAAGAAAATGACATTCGTAGTGCGGGGATTCGATCATTATTTTTTCGCATTTATTTTCATAAGATTAATTATGAAAAGTAAAAATGTACACCCGTCTATAATTAACGCTG